ATACCGAGTTGATCTTGCTGAATGTGGCTTATCGTGACCGGTCCGAGTCCGGCAACAAGGGTGTGTGCTCGAGAGGAGTAACATACGTTACGTCCCTGTCACACATCCAGAACGGCTTCTCCCGACCACCAACCAACTAAGGCTGACTGAAGTTTGGGCTGATTTAGGCCCAGCCTACATTTATCTACTTGTGAACTGAATCTAATTCAAGTTAAATTGAGTCAAAGTTGACACCCGAACACTGCTGACCTACCCCCGAATACCAACCAACCATCAGCCGAACATGGCAAAACCTCCTGTCTACGCTCAAATGTTTTAAACATTCGATCTCGCCACACACAAACCAACCACAGCCAACCTTGCTCCCGACTTGCTCCTAACCATGGTCGGGGGGAGTTGGGCAGTGAGGCCATATTCAGCTATATGTCACATGGGGCTTTAGGCAATCAGGCTAGTTATACTTATCTGGACACTGCCTGTGGTGCAGATTGAAGTCTTAGATATAGGTTCCTTTTTGTCGCTCAGAATCCCTGGAGGACTCATATTGATTCATTTGGGAGGCAACTTTTCAAAAGTATCGAGCGATATGAACATGTTTGATTTATTACCTCCATAAAAAACAGAGGCATTGCTTTTTGGGCTGTCTGTGTGAGTACGTGTAGGTCTTGGGAAGACGAAGGTCAAGGTCCAATGTGTGGCTGCTTTTAGTACTGCAGCAGAAATTCCGGTCTTTGTATCTTTTGTCATTGCCATATTTTGGTGGCAGGTAGCTTTTAATGTAATTAGAAAGTGGTGCAGGTTCGATCCCCTGGCAGATTGTTCTAAAACTACAGAGGCGTATTTCGTTAAAGGCTTTAAAGAAGATAAGTCAAGAAGGAACAGTGGATCTTCATTATTTTAGGCATGTAGGCAGCTAAGACAGAGATTTAACAAGTAGATCAAATAATATGAAATCAATTAATTAGATATTCTATAAATCCCTTGTTTTACAAAATGAAAGTTTAATACGTAGTTTAATACGTATGGCAGGCAGGACATTAACAGATACCAATTATGTAAATACGGGCCTAATTTGCATGATTAATACGAAATTGGCATGGTTCTTTGGAGGTAAATGATGGGAATTTCATATTTGTGGCATGTTTTAGTTAGTTGAAACTGAACTTCACTATTCATAAATTATGCGTATTTTAATTTCAACATTAATTTTCATAATGGGCGAGACAAAACAAAACAACAAAATTTACAAAAGCTTTTCATGGACGTATGAGATCTCTGTACTCTTGTTGCTACATACAATCTACGTTCTAGATCTGCCCCTT